CTCCTTGGACGTTTTGGCGATACCAAACGAGTACTGCTCCTTGACACGGTCAGAGAACCACTTGGGCGAGTTATCCAAAACGTAATCAATGCTTGAAGAGACGGTAAAGTTCAGGGTCTCCTGTGGAATCATTCCATCGGTGTTAGGCTCCAAGTTCTTTGCTCTGTACCTGACAAAGGCGCCCAACGACTCATTCTTTTTACGCGGAATGTCGACGTCCTCATTCTCCTTGGAGAGCATGTTTGGAGGATCATCGGGAGCGTGCGTGAGGTTGCCCCAGATAGTATCACCACCTCTAGGCAACATGGAAGGCACACCGCCAAAGGTGCGGAGCATGTCGACTCTTTCTTTTCTCGAGAAGAACTTCTCCAAACCGTAGACAGCCAATTGATTCAATTGCACAGTATCTTTCATCTCGCCAGAGATCAATGCCGGAATACTCTTGGGAGTTCCGAGAAGCGAACCGCTGATGTCAATCACACCAGCGAGGTGGTCGTTGCACCATTTCTTACCGCCATTTCCGTAGTGCTCGCCGTTGGCTTCGACCCATTTCATGAAATAGAGAATCACTTGCGAGCCCATAGAATGGCCAACAAGATAGGTCTTCTCGCCAGACAACTTCTTGACGGTCTCGATCTGCTGCTTCAACTTTGAGAAGTACCCGTCTCTTTTTTCCAAATCCAAGTAGGCAAGTCGCCAGTCGTACGACGCACTCAACATGTTGTTGGGATTATACCCGATCACAGATAAGTTCTGCAAGATTTTGTTCCAGATCCAATAGCCCGCCACGAAGAAGTCTGCAGCCTCAAAACCTTGGGCCGCTCGGAGCTTGATGCCAGGCGGATCAAGGCCTGTTTCAGGATCAAGCAGAATGTGTTTGAGCCAGCAGGCCTTGTCTAAGACCATGGTACGCAACATATAGAAGGAGCCCCAAAGTCGTTTTCTAAAATGGTTGATCGAAGGGCAATCGCCGGTATCCGAGGTACCCCAGGACTCAATGCCTGTGGAAATAACACCAGGAACTAAAACCACATTGTGCTTGGCGGTCATGTTGTGTTGCCGCTTCATCCGTCTACCCACAGAGAAGGACTCTGCGGAACCATGGAGCTCGCTGTTATCGGATCTGTTTTGATCAAGTAACAGAAAAAGTCCCAGAGGAAGCGAATCCTTCCATTCGTCCAAGAATCCCTCGAACTTGGTCGGAAGCACGTCCTTCCAGTCATCAAGAAACCCATTGACCGAGTCGAACTTGACCAACTTATCGAGCTCATTCTTGAAATCGTCCGAGTTGTACGCCATGGCAAAGATGGCCGCGGCAAGACCCAAAAGAGCGCCTAGAACGAAAGTGGCTCTTCTGGTCTGGTACAATTTTCTTTCAAGCTGGTGCTTGGACTTTGCGTTTTTATGGCGAGAGTGGTGGGAGTGATCCTCGGAAGACTCCTTGGGCTCCTCCTCCTGCTCAATCTTTTTCAGGTCATTGTCGTCGTTGTCCATCAAACTCTCAATTAGCTGTTTTGCAGTGTTTTGAGCCTGCTTTCTTTTAGGCATAGGAAAAAGGGTAAATATGGCACTAAACCAGATGCCGCACTGCGATATTTTGTTGATAGAGCTGCGCAGCAGCAAGCGATTGTAGATCCTGCGTCTGGCGACAAGGTCGGCCTAGAGGTATAGCTTGCGAGGCATTGATTGGTTACATACATACCGGGCAGATGAATTGAGGGGCAAGAGGGCTAGAGGGCGTCCATGGTGAAATCGTACTCGATGCCTGGCGTGACGCCGGCGATGAACTTCAAGAAGATCACCAAGTACCAGTCCACGCGGAGCTCGTCGGCCTCGTCCTCGGGCGCATTCTGGAGCTCCAACTTCTCAAAGTCCTCTTCTAGCAGCTCTTTCTGCGCCTTGTTGCGGGCGTGGTTCATAAACACCTTCATGACCGACGCGTGCTTGCACGGGTGGATCGACACGGAGGTGGTGTTGCTCGACATGGGCAAGTTCTCTATCGTGGCAGTCTTGTCCTTGTAGTCGCCCAGAATGTCCTCGTACATCTGCTTGGGCAAAAGCGGGATGCCGTTGGCGTTGAAGCCAACAAGGTACAACTTGGGCACGCGGTACAGCGTGGAGTAGGAGATGTACAAGTCGTACTTCCTGAGGGTCAGCTCGTTGGACTCAATGTGGGTGTAACCGTCTGCGTCGTCGTCGCCCACGCTGTCTTCTACGTTTTCGTCTATCAACTCGTCAAGGTCGTTCTGGCAGTCCTGCTGCTGCTGTTGCTGTTTCATGGCGTTCACCGGAGCCGAGTTGACCCGAGGCACCCATTCGGCGTCACTATCGTGGTCCTCCTCGTCCTCCTGGGGCTCGGGCACATAGGACGCCACACGCTGGTACGACGGCACGTGGCGGGTGACCAAAAACTGTTTTTCTGGAGGCAAAAACTTGCGTTGCAAGTTCTTGGGACAGGTGCCCCAGGTCCATGTGGGAAACTTGTACACCAAATAGTCGCCGGCCTTGACGAACTCCTCCGGGGAGATTTCACCGGTGGAGCGGAAGTTGGAGTCGTTGTTGATCGGAGTCAAGTACTCTATGAGGGAGGAGAGCTTGGATCGGATGCTCATTGTGGCGGTAGTGGGAGCAGATTAGATAAGGTGAGGCGTGATGATGGAGGGTGCAGTGCGCAGGTCTGGGTGCAAAAATGGTGTCTCACTGAGCAATGGCCACAATGGACCCTGGAGCGTGAGCCGTGTATTCCGTGAATTGCAAATCGTGTTTTCGGTTGACGGGAGAGAAGAGGGACGTTAGCGTGTTTGGTGAAGAAATTTGGAAGAGGAGCGGTCTGAAGGATTGGGGAGATGAAAGAGGAGGGAGGGGTGGCAGTGAAGGTGGTGGCACTGACACTGGCGGTATTTGCACCCATTGCACCCATTGCACCAAAAGAGGACTGCTACCAAAAAGGCAAGGTGTTTTGCAAGTACGTTTCCGTCTGTTTTTAGAACTTTTCGGGAAACCATGCACCAAGGGCCCTTCTGCAGCAATTGCTCCAGCCAGATCGATCTGGTACCGAGCCACGCTGAATCAAGGGTGCCATTGTGGGGCAAGCGAGACACGTCGCAGGGTAAACAGCACGGATGAGGCAGCGAAACAAACAGGATTTGGGATTTTTTTTGGCGCGGGCATAAACATAGGCCGCGGCGGAAAGGCAGCACGAAAAAGCGAGACAAACCAACGAACGACGTAAACATGCAGCGGTCTATTGTCCAAGGGACGGGAGGGTGGATTGAAGGGTGGACTGTAAATTCGATAGTTGCTTTCGTTAAAAGTCGTTTGCTGATTGGGCCGCCTTTCCGTGGTGTTTACCAGCCTGTGTTGGGACGCTTATTTGGGGAGCTGGAGGTGTATTTAGATCTTGCCTCGTGCGGACGGTGCGGTCTTTTTTGGGTGGTCCGCTTGGCTTTCGCAGCCACGCCGCAGCACACAACACGGTGCCAAAAACAGCTTCCCGTGGGCCAATTCGTCCGGAAAAAAAATCTCGCCCCAAAATCGACGCCGCCGATTACAACCATGTAATTTTTATCTTGCTACGACCCCGAAAACCTCGTCTTTGGCCACCCTGCACGGTGCGTGCACACCAAAACAAACAGACACGCCTGGCAGTAGGCGCCCGCGCAGAATCTGCTTTTAAACGGCTCGCTTGTTTTCGTCTCGCTCGCATCGGGGCATCAAATGAGTCGGGCCACGGCCTCGCTTCTCGTGTCCAAACATGCACGTAGGCGTATAGCCAAACGTCACGAACTTAGCTGAGACACACTCTGTTTTTGTTTTCCGCCTGCTTTTAAAAACTCCTCCACAACCGCTTTCTTGTTCGTTGTTCGATTTTCTTCCTTTTCGTTTTCATTTCCAGTCAGCCTTTTTATTCCATCATGCTGAACAGAGTGGCGTTGGCTTCCATAAATACAAACGTCGATAGTCCACGGTCACGGTGTCGGCTGCCCAAGCTGAACGGCGGTTCGCTTCCCTTGACGCCTTCGACTACTCCAAAGTTGGCGCTTGCAAAAACAACATCGTCTTTGGTTCCCCTGGCGTGCCTGGCGCCTCCAGCTAGGAAGACCGAAAGCTTCTCTCATTACAGACTCGCCCATGGCAAGAACGTCAAGGCCGACTTGGCCGCCACCAAATTGAAGCTCCGCTTGCAATTGGCGTTTTACAAGTTGAAGGCGCAAAAGGACTCCCTGGTGGCCCGCCAGGGCCCGGAGATCACCGTGTCTCCTACCATAAACGAGAAGGAGGAGCCCAGAACGTTCAAGTCCGCCGCAAACGTGAATCTACAAAAGCCACGCAGCAGCTCGGGGCCCTCCTTGAACTCCGTCGCCAGCAAGGTCTCGAAAAAGAAGAAAGCCTTGCGCTTGTACCACATCAAGCCGCTGCTGTCGTTCCACAACGCGTACCCACAGCTGCTCCCACTCACAGGCTCCTCTGGCCAGCGGCTTCCTCCGGTCCACAAGATCTTGAAGACGCCCATCAAAACCACCACCCGCAACTTGGTGCTGTTGTATGGCCACGGCGGCTCTCTTTCGAACTTTCAGATCGCCAAAAACGACAATAGCGACGAGACCATCGACGACGCTGCCGACGAAACATCCACCGACGTTCGCAAAAAGGACATGTTGGGCTCCTCTCCTACTCGCTTCGGCACCTTCAGCACGCCTAACAGCTTTTCCGTTGCCAAATCCTTGTTGCAGCTTGGCCTGGGCTACTACTGATCTTCACGCTTACTAAGCGCGGAGCCACACCCAACGAAAAAAAATTTATTGCCCTGGGGCCACAAAAGTTTTTAATTGGTTTCTGCCACCCCCTGGCCGAGGGCCTGTTTGTACAATTACATAGACGAACATAATGACCAGCATCAATGTGGTGGTGTAGGGCCGCATTTCGCAGCCACACCTGCGACCGATATATAAGAGGCAGCATAACTAATCATTGCTCCACCATTCCATTTTCTTTCGAACATGTCTCTTTCCGGTAAAACTTTCAAACTCGCTGATGGCAATTCCATCCCCGCTATCGCCTACGGTGTCGGTACCAAGTGGTACAAGCACGGCAGAAACGAAATCGACGAAAAGGTCGTTGAGGCCTTGCAGACAGCCATCCAAAAGGGCTTTGTTCACATTGATGGAGCTGAGGTATACAATACAGACCAAGAGGTCGGCTTAGCTGTTGAGGGCCACAGAAACAACTTGTTCCTCACCGATAAGTATTTTGTTGGTGACTCCAGCCATGCTGACAAATCGCAGTATGGTACCCCTTACGAGTCGCTCAAGTACCACTTGGAGAAGGAATTGAAGACCGACCACGTCGACTTGTACTTGCTTCACAGTCCTTTCGTTAAGAAGGAGTACCACGGCTTCAGTTTGGCCGAGGCATGGCAATCGGTCGAGAAGCTCAAGGACGAGGGCTTGGCCAAGTCGATTGGTGTCTCCAACTTTGCCGTCGAGGATCTCGAAGAAATCTTGAAGGTGGCCAAGCACAAGCCTGTGGTGAACCAGATTGAGTTCAATGCCTACTTGCAGAACCAGACTCCAGGCATTGTCGAGTTTGCTCAGAAGCACGACATCTTGATCGAGGCCTACAGCCCCTTGGGACCAATCACCAAGGGCGAGCCTGGCGAGTTCACTGAGTTGTTGGACACCTTGGGCAAGAAGTACAACAAGACTCCTGGCCAGGTTTTGTTGAGATGGGTGCTTGAGAAGAACATCTTGCCTGTGACCACCTCTTCCAACCCTGACAGAATCCGTCTGTTTGTGGAGATCTTCGACTTTAGCTTGAACAAGGAGGAGGTTCTCAAGCTCACTGAGATTGGCGCCAAGCACAAGACCTTGAGACAGTACTGGAAGAAGGAGTACAGCAAGTACGACTAGACGCCTTCACTAGATACGCGGTCCACGAGATTGCAAATAGAACGAATATGATTGTTGAAATCGCTGTAGTCTGAAGCCAGTTCGCCAAAGGACACGATTCCCTCGAGCTGGTCCATGCTAGTTCCGGTGGGAAGCTCATTGGCAACGATCATGCGGTAGATAATGTCCTCAATGTCGACTTCCCGTTTGCCGTCTAGAAGCAATTCGTAGATTCGGTCAAGACGGATCAGCGAGAAGTAATGCGGTAGCTTGGAGATGTTGACATCGAGGAAGTTCTCCAAGAGCCGTGTGGAGTACTTGGAGCAGACAAAATGGAATAAGCCATCTATTTGAGACGCCGATTCAACAAAAGCCTGAAACAAGCCTGGACTCACCAATGGCTGCCTTATGTAGGCCTCCTTGTACTGGTCTATGGCGTCGCCATAGCTTTTATGAAAAATCTCCTCTTCCAATAGGTACTGTTTGACATTTTTCTTTCTGAAGTCGGCTCCACTCATGAGGTAAAGGAGCAAGATCTTGAGCTGTAGATCCTCCACCACAGGATGATTGAAGTCGCTAACGAGAGTCAACGAATTGAGCTTCTTGTTCACCAAATCCATCGACTTGAGCTCTCTATCCGAACCATAGAAGTACTGGTAGTCGGTGAGCAAATCTAGGTACTTAACCTTCACGTATGGATCCTCTACGCCTGTCTTGCCACTAAGCGGCACAAGCGTCTTTAGTCTCAGCTCAATGTACTCCAAGTTCGGATGATCCGTGCCGTAGAATAACAAGATCTCGATTTCGTAGATTGTCAAGACAGATGTGATCTCAAACGGGCCTTGTCGACTTTGGAGCACCAGAATGTACTTGGAAAGATCGGAAGATGGAAATGGTATAAGGCGGCATAGTTTTCTGGATGCAATAAGGAGGTCTGCTGGGCCTGCCAGAGCGATTTCCTGTGTCACTTTCGCCAATTCCTCATCAGACATGGTTGTTAAAGTAGTTGATATGCGATGTACTGTATGCCTATAGAGCGATAAGACAGATCAAGAACGATGGGGACGTGCAAAAGGTCGAGATGGATTAATTTTTACTAGTTAGGCAATGAACGTGAAAAATAGGGAATTGTGTTACGGTCAAGGGGGTGATAAAGCTCTGATGTGGTGTTGTAGATAAAACCTACACTCAACCTGGGCTTTCCCGATACATACAAACATTGGTAATTGTAAAGTTCTTGATGATCTATCAATATTGATCGATATAAAGTAGCGTTATCATCATATTCCGGATAACATAATGTCCTCGCCAATATCACCCATCTAATACGGTGTAGCATCTTGGGTATGCTCGTTTACAATCGTACCAGATATGTTGAATTGCCCGTCACCCACAACCATGAGAAGCCTTCAGGGGCAATAAACCATTATTTTATTAGTGATGAACCCCATTTGAACCCGTTTTTCCCGTATCACGGTCTCCGAATAATGGCTGCAAAATGTCCATCTTCACCAAACATACTCCACGGCCCGTCAGCAAGCCGAAATTCCGTCAAAATATGGCCGAACATCAATAATTAAGAGTTTTTCTTTCTAAGCCCGCCGTTTTCTCCGCATATTTGCTGTGAAGGCCTTCTCTCTGCTTATACGATTCGGTGCGATGGAATTTCATGCATTCTGCTCGTATAACCTCAGTCGTATTTCTCACTATATATCTAACTCCATCCACTCTTTTCCACATCAATGAACATCTGGCTTAAATTGACCGCCATCGTGGTCGTGTTCTTTGCGGTTCTCGAGGCCTCTTTCCAAACATGGCTTCCTAACCACTATGTCTTCGACAAGCAGGTTCTTCAAGATCTCGTTCAAGAAACCTTGAAAGCCAACCCAGGTGCTGATGCCCTCCAGATCATGACCGCCTTGACTCCAAAGCTCCAACAGGCTTACCCAGGCCTTATTAATGACCTCAACTTCGAGGACTGGGTTTTCAACAACGCCGGTGGAGCTATGGGTAACATGATCATCTTGCACGCGTCCATTTCCGAATACCTCATCTTCTTCGGTACTGCTATCGGTACCGAAGGTCACACTGGTGTTCACTATGCTGACGACTACTTCACCATCTTGTACGGTAAGCAGCTTGCCGCTAACCCATTCTCCTTGGAACCAGAGGTGTACAACCCAGGTGACCAACATCACTTAGAAAGAGGTTACGTCAAGCAGTACCTGATGCCTTCTGGCTCTTACGCTCTTGAGCTTGCGCAGGGCTGGATCCCGGCCATGTTGCCTTTCGGGTTCGTGTCTGTGCTCTCGTCGACACTCGACTTCCACTCTTTTGTCAGAACTGCCTGGTTCACTGGCTACGATATGGTCAAGAACTTGGTCAGGGGTAAGTTCTAGATGCCCCTCCTGTCCATATCTATAGAAATCAATGTTCCATGCTGGGATCATAACGAAATGTAGCGATCATATGGGCTTACTCCAATGCAAGTCGATATACATCAAAGTCTCGGCCTTTGTTGGACCTTATCAGACTTTGAGATAAAAATAAGCTCTCGTGACTCAAAAGTGTATTGGAAAATCACTTCGTTGAGGTTGATCCTCGTGTATCGTTTGTAGATCCGGTGATCGAGAAACAACGAATTGGCGAACAATAGAGAACCGTTGATCGAACGAATTTTTTCCAATCGATTGAGAATCCGGCGATCTGTAATGCACTGAAGGTTTCTAGAATGCTGACTGGTCTGTTGTTTGGATTCTCGAGGCAAGGCTTCCATGATCGTATTGTCCTTCATAAACTCTAACGGGAGACCAAGAAAAGCATGAAACAACAAATTGACAATTGCAAAATAATCTCCAGGCTCCCTTCAACAATTGACAACTCGGTCATCTGAATGACCCTAAAAAACACAAACTCTAATTTTGCGAAATCATCGGCGGCTGATTCGCCCGGCATCTCAAGATATATCTGAGCACATACATGGCCAGGGCTTCCCCACCATCAACCCTGTCAAACCCGCCCAAGTGCCCCTCACCAAATTGCCTCAAAACAACGAAAACCCTGATTTTTTTAAAACATCAAAATTTGTTTTGTATATTCCACCTTCACACTAAATCCACCAACACCGTCGCCAACGGAATAAGGCCGCACACTTCAAGGCAAAGATTCCCTATCTCTTATCTCTGTTTATGCCGTCGTGCGTGAAAGACGTCAGATGGACTCCAATGCGATTCAGAAATTCTAAGAAACCTGCCTCATCCCCCTCACGGTCACCAAAAAGTATAAATACCCCCACGTGCCCCGGCTTCTTTCGCCATGGATGAACGTCAAGCTCTTTTGGATAGCCCAGAGCTAGCAGACGACGAGATCGTGGCCTATGTTCAGCAGAGACGTGCCTCCATCGCTCTGGCTGGCACCACCAAGATTCCCTCTGTGTTCCAGCTTACGCCGAAGCGGTCAAGACAAAGCTTGGACTCCCATGCCCATGTTTCCCATCATGAACTGTTGAATGACCTTTTGCTGGTGCATCTGTCCACCATGTTGGGGGAACCCCGGACCAGTATGTGGACGGAGACGAGAACGCTTTTGAAGTACTCGGTGCCGCTTATCATCACCTTCTTGTTGCAGTACTCCTTGACGGTGGCCTCGGTGTTCTCGGTAGGCCGATTGGGTCCGACGGAATTGGCTGCTGTGTCCCTCTCGTCCATGACCGCCAACATCAGTGGATATGCCATCATTCAAGGTGTTTCCACGTGTCTAGACACCTTGTGTGCTCAAGCATACGGCAGGAGAGACTTCAACACCGTGGGGTTGCACTTTGTGAGATGCACCTATTTGCTCATGTTGTGCTATGTGCCGATGTTGGTGCTCTGGATGTTCTTCTCCGAGCCGATCTTGCTCTTCTTGGTGGGAGAGGAGAAACACCAATTGGTCACTCTAGCCAGCCGCTACCTCCAGATCCTATCATTGGGTTTACCGGGATTCATTGTGTTTGAAAACCTCAAGCACTTTTTGCAATCGCAGGGCATTTTCCACGCCTCCACGTACGTTCTCTTATTCTGTGCTCCGATGAACGCGTTTTTGAACTACTTCCTTGTCTGGAACAAGCATGTGGGACTCGGCTTTGAAGGAGCGCCTTTATCCGTTGTAATCACCAATTGGGTGATGTGTGCTGCACTCTGGTGCTACACAAAGTACATTGATGGCTACGAGTGCTTACCGAGGCAACAGCTTTTGCACAAGACGTATTTTACCAATTGGCAGCGTATGATCAACTTGTCCGTGCCGGGGGTGTTGATGGTGGAAGCCGAGTGGCTCGCGTTTGAAATAATCACGTTCATTGCCTCAACATTTGGCACAGAGGTGTTGGCTGCGCAGTCTATTGTCTCCACGACGTGTGTGCTCTTGTATCAAATCCCATTTGCATTGTCCATCACGGCGTCGACCCGAATCGCATGGTATATTGGCGCGGCCTCAAAGAAGGCTGCATTGGTTGCAACAAGGGCATCCATGTACACAGCCATGTGTTTTGGTGTGGTGAACGCCGCTGTACTATTTAGTTTCCGTGATTTCTTTGCCTCGCTCTTCACGGACGACCCCATTGTGCTTGATATTGCATCAAAGGTATTGATTGTCGGGGCGGTGTACCAGATTAACGACTTTCTCGCGTGTACAACTGGGGGCATTTTACGAGGCCAAGGCCGCCAGAAAATAGCTGGGTACTTGAATCTTGTGTCGTACTACGTCATAGCGTTGCCAACGGCGATCTTCTTTGCCTTTTATCTCGAGCTTGCGTTGATAGGCTTGTGGATGGGTATGATCATTGCGCTCCTTTTCGTGTCGCTTTCGCAGACGTACTTTGTGGTTGCCAGCGATTGGGACGCCATTATCACCGAGTGTATTGAAGAAGGTGTTGCCGAAGACGGGGTGCTCAACATCGAGGCGACGGCACTGGTGCCGGCTATGCTGTCGAATCACCTTGTGTAAAACAAAAAAAAAAAAATTTCGTCGTCAAGGTTTAT